ATCTTACTTTGGTAACATATCAAAGTGGATGACTAAAAAAAAAAAAAAAAAAAAAAAAAAAAAAAAAAAAAAAAAAAAAAAAAAAAAAAAAAAAAAAAAAAAAAAAAAAATTTTCTGCACTACCTAATGGAAAGAAATGGTGACTTACAATAGTTGCCAGAATAGTGGCTGGCACATTCGCATTTAGCATATAAAAATTTAATGTGATTTGTCATTGAGGGGTCACAATGTTATGACAGTTAAAATATTGCAGTATGTTTTATCTGATTGTAGGAGAGATTGATATAAAGCCACAAAAGCTGAGAAAATGAATAATTATTTTCCCGGGCAAGCAACCCTTAGACGTGATTCCTGAAAGTAAAATCCTCCTGGCTTAGACCACATACACACAAAAAACTTGAATTATACAAAGATAAAAATTTTAATCTAAAAGCACGATACATGCCTGATTGCTAAGGCAAGTTTGATATGGCTGAAAGGCTTACTTCAGTTTCTCTTCTTTTTTTAAAGATTTCATCTTCAACTTTCCCTAAATCTGAAATAAGTACATGCATATGTGGGTGATCACTAGATTTGTAGCAAAATATAAAATATAAATATAACTTCATAACTTCATTGTAAAACTAAATCAAATGTGTCGTAATGCACCACACAATGTTTTTTTAAAAAGATTTCATCTTCAACTTTCCCTAAATCTGAAGTAAAGACATGCAAAAGTATACACGGCTGAACCCTATCTTTGTGACAAACTGTAAAACAACTTTGCACCTTCATTGTAAAATGAAATAAAGCATGTGATACAGCACCAAACAATGTCTTTTTTTTAAAATTAAGCTGCATAGCAAAGTTTTTAAATCTTTTGTGTTCACTGCACACTTTTCACTTTCCCAAAAAAAATACCTTGCCGACCCTATCACATAGGCCACAATGCATTCATTTGCAACTACCAAATTTAAGGATTAAGAAAACCTTCTGTATTATTTTATCACTATCTTAAGAATATCGAATGGCACTTGTTGCAGCACAGCTCAACAGCTGTGGCAGGGCTGATAGCAACTCCCCTACAGCATTAGTTCGACAGTTGCATGGTGAAATGTCAGGATAACAACAAAAGTCAAGGTATGCCAGGGTTCACTTAAAATGCAAACCCATCTTTCAGTATTCCCAATATTACATTTCCCATGCTAAGGGACAATTACATTAAACTAAAAAAAAAAAAGAGGCCACATGTAACATGTGATAGACAGTCCTACCTGACATGACCAGTTGTACACGACTTAAATTTACAACACCACTGTCTGTGAGGTAACCCTATGAGAAAACAAAAATAAGAAAATAATAGTTAAAATGTGGTAATTTTCAGATTTCTTCCCAACCTATCAAACAGTGATCAAACTAGCTTGAAATGTGAAATATCTAGAAAAGTGCTTAGCGAGTTATGCAAAGATTGCAACTTACACCAGTTTTCATTACAACATTTTTATAGAGTTTCACAAGTCTGTCGATGGCTCCTTCTCTGAAAAAATATATTATTGAACATTTTAGGAAAAAGAAGAAAAAAAATTTAGACCGCTAAAAAAAATATTTTTTTTTTAAAAAGCAAACAACCCCACTACACGTCTGAGATAAAATACTAAATGTATGATATGATATAACAAACCAAAAAATTACCCAGGATAACAAAAATGGGATAAAATATTTATTTATTTAACAATAACACATCGATGATATACCATCTACACACCAATTGCATGATGTCCGACCTTCCAAAAAATATTCTACAGTTTTTTTTTTCAGCGACACACAAACATTTGACTACAGAGTTAACTTATGAGAACTGACATATTATAAAAATGGTGCTTCTTTTTGTTAATTAAAGGAACAGATACATATATAACATAATCTGATCTGACTAAGATGGAAAGGTTGACCAACACACCTGATTTCAAGAGATGGTAAATGTGGCAAGAAATCATTTCCAACAAAGAAACACATAAACACCCAATCATCAAGGGCTCTCTAAAGATGAAAATGAGCAAAGAATAAAATTTGAGTAATAGTTGTGTAAATGTATCAGCTATAAACTAACTGAGAGAGCTGTTGCCATTATTCACCTGTTGCCTGCCTCCCTTTAATATCATCATATTCTGTCATGTTCTATCCCTTTTACCATTCCCTGCCCTCAGGTTCAAACCATCTCCCCACCACCAACTCCACCAGCCTGCCATACCTTTCAGCATCCATCCCCTCCTCTCCCAGATTCCTGACTTATACAATTCCCAAAAAACCACCACACCGCTGAAATTGATTGAGAAACAACCAACAAAATAATAATAAAAGTTTGTTGGTTTTCTTAAATAACTAAACCCACCCATTACTAAAACACCATCTGCAATAGTGATTCAGTCATGACTAAAAATTTTACATACATATTAAAAGTAAATGATATTTTACAGATTAATAACAGTTTTGGGCGCAATTGCATATTTTGAATTTATTATAACACTGTTTAAAGTGTATATTTAACTGTACATTTGTAGCAAAGTAGTGAGTTGTCGTGGTTTAGTTTACAAATCAAAGGAAGCAAGTCTTGAGAACTATAGCGGGAGCATGCTAAGGATAAGTAGATTTCCTTGAACCCATCCGAGGACACCTAAGTCATGTCAGGCGAAACCATGTTTTTGGGCAGCCTGACAGCGATAAGTTTTGGTAAAATTGATAATCCAGAATTGAGAGACTCAAACCATAATAAAAATTAAATCCCAGGTCCGAAACCCTGAAGACCTATATTATATGTGTTTGTTAGTGTCAGCTTTTGAGATGCACTTTGATATAGGTTAAATGGTCTTTGAGACTTAGTAAATAGAAGGGGTTGTCACCGCATGCATGACGGCAAAAACACTCTTAATTGCTCAATAATGAATTATACTCTAAAGGGTGGGCACATTGAAATATACTATGATATAGTGAATTAAATCCTCTTTCTGACTAGATATAATTTATATCATAATTCACTAGAGTTCCAGATAAATTATTTCTTGAACCTATACAAAAAGCACAAACGGTGATTTCTTATTGCCCATATCTAAGCCTGATCAAGTGGGCTCGGGGGATAGAAGCAGTTCACTCTGTGTTGATGTAACCTGTCCTAATAAAGATATTTAAGTTGTGACACACACTGCCATACATTGTTTTACGACATAATGTACCTCAAAGTCATATGTGAAGGGTAGTCCGGGCATAGCTAGCTCTGTTTGAAGATATTCCCTCAACACACTCAGTCTGACAAAAATGAACTGCTGCTCCACTCCAGGCACTGCCATGGGCTGTTGGATGTGGAAACAAAATCTCAATTTACTTTTTTTAAATAAGGTTATTAAACAACCAAAATGACCTCCCAACCTTTATTTGGATGATTTCATTCAAACAATGACACCTGAAAACATGTTTGCTCAAACCAACTTTAAACAGATAAACCTGAATTAATTTTATAAACCGTGACTTAATTAGAAAACAACCGAGACTTACCACATCACTTTGTTCCCGAGACATTCCTTCGCAGTTTTTTAACTCATGACCTATGGTAAAAATATTAAAGTAAAAAAAAAAATCTTACTTCAAAATAATATTATCTTTATGGAAAAATCCTAATTTACATGAGCTCTAACGATAACGTGAACAAAATTTGAAGCACTTGCTGAAATAATAAGATCACTTTAACAGCTGGAACTTAAAATACTTTTAGAGAGAGAAAAAGGAAAAAAAATCAACCAAGAAAGTAACTGGTTTACTTGTACTTGGATAATAAATGAAGGAATGCATTCAAGCTGTGTGAAGGAAATAGTGGAACAAGGTATGTTGAAGCATGGAATTAAAAAAATAGGACAATAAATGGAGAAAGTTTCAGCTAAAAGCCTTCTTCAGCAGACCAGATTAAAACAAGAAACAACAAGAAAAAGGGAACAGTTTAACATTTAGAAGGGAATGCTATGTTATTGCCAGAAGTTGTGTTGTCAAAATGTGTGCTATCAAAAAGATTTCAGAAAGTTAAAGAATGTATGTAACTTTACATTCCAAGCTTCAACATACCTTGTTCCACTATTTTCTTACTTGTACTTACCCATCTGACCACAGAGATCACATGGTCTGGGCTGGTTGGGTTTGAACTCTTCTCTGATGATGGTGAAATTGGGTTCATGAGTTGCTAAGCCTATAAGAAAGAAAGAAACCACAACAAATCTTAACAAATAAGCAGGCTTCCTTTACAAGAACCAAAATCTTTAAGAAAATATAAAAAAAACTCTTTTAATTAATTAATTAAGAATAACAACAAAGCTTACCTAACATAATCAGATCAGCTGTGGATAAATAAATTTCAAAAATTTTAAATGATACAAGCAGATTAGTTTGTAAGATGATACATGAATAAATCCTGGCCTAAGTTGACAAAAAACAGACGACCCCACAGTGCAGATAATAAACATATAAACTGATTAAATACTTATCAAGAAAGCTAAGAATATTGCACAAGCTAAATAACCTTGACTTCAAGGACTATTTGAAGAAAAATGCTGTCATAAAATTTAAAATTTTTTTTGGATGTAACATCCCATGCCCTTCATCACAGGGTACCTAAGATCAGCTCAATTAGGATGAATTCCTTCTCTTAAGGTTAGATCCAAAAGATATTAAAGATTCTTTTGTTCCCACACTCTGAGCCAATTTACCAGGGTGATTACCATATCTAAATGATCAATAATTAAGTCATTATTGTCACTAAGCAATGTCATTGACGGCTGATTTCGACACTGAAGATATACTTTAGATGTCTAGTGTTTAAATTGTTATAATTGTAAAATGTTGTCTTGGTTAAAAGATGTATTTATGTGCTGAAATGCAATATGTACACTGTAATCAATAAATATTACCATTTATTAGGATCAATAAAAGAATCTTATCTATCTTACATATTTGTTTCCGTTCTGCTTTCCAAATCTCAGTTATGAAAAAAAATATTTACCATCTGCACCACAGAGACAATGATGTGTGTTTGGATCGTGATCAGGTTGTGCTGGAGAAAAATAAATAATTTATATTGTTATGTACTGTTATATGGTTTTGCCAAATAAATCAGTTTTAAGATTTGGGTTGTTTGTTGAACAATACCAAACAAAGGACTGAAGACCGGTAAACAAAAAAAAAAAACGTTACCAAAGCTAATGATACTGAAAATATTCAATTTATTTGTATTATTTAATGTATATAAGACTATAAAACTGAAATGGAAAAAAAAATCGTATTAACTTACATACAGCACAGCTTTTGAAAGGTAAAACCCTCAAAAGATACAAATATTAAAATACACACACAGAAGAAAATTAGGTCTTGTAAAAGTCTAGGAAAATTGGCAAAAATTTCTCTTCATGCTAGGAAAGCTGCCAGCTTATTTATAAGGAGAAAGTTGGAACCCTCGAGAAAAGATATTCTAGACATAACATCACCCAATACCATTCTTTAGAACAACAGAATGTAAAAAAAACTTTTCCCAATCAAGGAAAGGATGGGGTTGTCACAGGGGTAACCTTTAATCGGTGATGTCGATATCAACACAAAAAAAGAGGGGAGACAAGTGGTGGTCGCTACATCACTAAGTTTAAGTAAAATTAAATCAAGACACAAGCTTTAACAATAGACTTTAAACAACTGAGATCCACTCAGCAGTGCCTTGTTCCAAGGCTTGATAAGTTATAATGATCAATGGGATTAATTTTCCTTTACAGTTGCAGAAAATTGTGTTGATATAATGCACTCTCCAGTTATATCATGTCCTTTGTGTCAAATGGTGCTCATGATGTGACATAGCCCAACACTTATAATAACTCCTGCGACGTCACTGGTGCCAAGCTGTATCATCCAATGATGTTCCCTTGGGTTACCCAGCGGCGTGGAGAGAGGCGATTTGCTGTTGGGAACCAGCTTATAATCCTTGAAGTATAATCCCAGGCCACGTGGATTTCGTCCTCCGAAGCCCACCCCATCGTCACATTGTGACGGACGGATGCCAGCAAAAAAAAAAAAAATAAATATTATCCAGTGAGTTTTCTTTTACAACCTATCAAGTATCTTACCTCTTTGTCGCCGAATGTAATCCATAATTTTGTGTTCTCCCTCCCCTGGCACATTAGCGTCCGAGAGGATAACTTTGATATTTTCCCAGCCCGGGTCGTTGTTGATGCGGTCATGAACATAATACCTGAGACATTCAGCTAGCTTGAACATGAAAGGGGTACCCTGAAACAGATATTATAATAACGCATGAGATTCTGGGATAAGTGTTGAAAATTAGGTTCAGCATAAAAGACAAATAATACATCAAACAATTTTGACCTTGATGGAAATACAATAAAAAATATGACTCACAAAATTGATTAAAGATAGTAAGAAAAAACTTCCGGGAAATCTTCACAAAATTTAAGTATAAAACAAAGAGGTATATTAAAACATAGGATATTATTGTTTGTTATAGAAAATTTTACAGAACTAACACTAAGTACTGTGGCAAAAAAAACTCACAGGTGTAATACAGTTGCTGTCAAAGTGCTCTTCCTTTGGCTTCTCTGGTGGTAGGTACATGCCTTTGCTCAATACTTCTTCTCTGACTCTGGCTAAATCTTCTATTTTTTCTCTAAAAGAATATTTTCCACATTTAGATTAAATTCAGCAAGAGGAATCCCACATTTTAAATAAATACCTATTAAAATTAAAAAAAATAATGGCAAAAACATATTTTAAAATACCAACATTAAAAAGCTTTAAAATTAAGACAGTGTTTTTAATTTTGTAATGTAAAAATATTTCAAAGTTTCATAAACATAAAGATAAATAAAATAAAAAAAATAGCTTCTAATGCTCTTTGCTATAAATTAATCTTCCATGATTAAATTCATTTACGAAGCTTTATCCTTGAATAAAATATTGGATTCCAATAAAAGTTTAAATTAATACACTACAACATGATAAGCATGACTTTTCAAAACTACCTTAAAATGCAGACAGTTAACCTTTTAAACTTGAGATTCTGATATCTGTCTGTTAGAAATCCTGAATGATATTTTGGTATTACATGCCTAACCTTAGATCAACTGACCATAAATGAAATTATGCTGTTAATGGTCACAGCTTACCACATGATTTTTTACAAATTCCGTTCATGAGTGCACCCATAAATGTGATTATATTTTTTATTAAATTTTATGTTTAGATGTGATGAAAATGCAAAGAATTTCTGTGTGGGGAAATAAGACCAGAATAGTTGAATGGGTATTTAAGAACAGGGGCCAAGCGTTCAAACTTGTAATAAATATAGAAAATTATAAATTGTACTAACCCAGTTTCTTTAGATGCCCGGAATCGACGTGATCTCTGTTGGTTCATTTTAGCACGGGGAGCCTAGGGAAACATATAATGAGTTAAAATTTAAATGGTTAAAGAAAAGAAAAAAAAACAAAATGTCAAACAGTAAAGTGTAATTAGGACTACAGTTTTTTTTATAGATATTAAGTATATTAAAAACAAAATGCAGTTATTCTCATATTTACCACTCCGTCAATTGCCATGTAGAGAACACGCCTTGGGCGTACAATTGAGAAAATTCTGTCAATGAAGTCAAAGATCAAGATCATCATCTCGTCTTCATTTTTGGGTGCGGGTCTGTTGAAAATGAAATCAAAAAATAATTTTGAAATTGTTTTTATCTAGTCAGAGGCATAATGAGGGTGTGGAAAGACACAGCATGTGCTGCAGGTGCCACTTGAAGGGGGTGCAAAACAAGCAAGCAGGATAAAGAATTCTGTCAATGAATTCAAAGATCAAAATCATCATCTCGTCTTCATTTTTGGGTGCGGGTCAGTTGAAATGAAAGCAACAAATAATTTTGAAATTGTTTTTTATCTAGTCCGAGGCATAATGAGGGTGTGGAAAGACACAGCATGTGCTGTAGGTGCCTCTTGAAGGGGGTGCAAAATAAGCAAGCAGGATAAAGAATTTTCATACTTTAATAAATAATAATTCATTTATGCTTACAAGCTATTAGTTTATCTGTGTTGAATAAGAAAAAAATCCACTTACAGACCATGCAATCTCTGCTTACTCTGCTGTCCTGGTAAACTCTAAGGTAATTATTAATTACATAAAAATATGTTTCTAAAGCTTGATGGGGCACAATTTTAATTCTTGTCTAAAATCTTTGATAGGCATCTGTATCTATAATTTAGTTTCTGATTATGTTCATAAGGACTTCACTATCTGTTGTGAAACTATTTAGTAAATAAATGTTTAAATTGATGTTAAGAGCTTAATTTATACTTACCGATCTTCTGGATGACAACATGGGTGAATGATTCCATTCATGTCAAGATATAGGTTATCAAACTCAACTTCATTAGGATTGGGCTTGCTAGTATCAACAGGAATTTTAACTCCATCAACTTCTCTTGCCTAAATGTAAGAACAAAGTACAGTTAGATACATGTTAAGTCTCAATCTACATCTATACATTTACAAAACCCAAAATCATTTCAAAAATCAATTTGGAAAACATATATTACGTTATAATAAGAAAAAATGCAGCAGGTGATTAAATGACCAAATAGTAATTAAAGATCATTGAGACCAACTTCACACTCAAATGTAATTAAATGAAACAATAACTTAGAGATAAATAAAATTACACTGCTAAACAGTAAACAAGTGCTGATGTTAATTGTTTTAAATGAGTATAATTTATTTTTTAATAATGTGCCTAAATTTTATTGATTTCATTGTAAACACCATGGTTGTCAGGTTTTTTTTGGTCTTGAAAACAAACAACTATTCATTACATATAATTTGCTGCATTAATACTCTATCTATAACATCAAAGTCAAAAGTATCTAAGATTAAAAAGGGGCCATCCATAAACATTGTGACGCGTTGGCGTTGGAGGAGGGTTCCACACATTTGTAAGGAAGTGTAAGTGTGACATTAGTGTGAAAAGACTTTAAAATTTCTAATTATTATTTATTTTAATTTATCTTACAAATTTGTGACGGGGGGAAAGGGGGGAAGTCAAAATAAAATTTAAACATTTCAAATATCTCAAACATTTTGCAGAGGGTCCTCTTACTAGTGTAATAATTTACCCTGAAAAGTCGTGAAAAGCCATGCAATGGACATGGAAGGTATATTTTTTTATATTAATATTAGACACATAATCCATTAAATAATAAGATATATGCCAACTGAATTGTTTTTAGGCGATGATTTTAATATTTGTATAGAGTGTACAGGAGTCTCAGGAGAACCAGAACATTGTATACTATCGAAAACAGGTTGTGTTTTAATTTTAAGATTTCTTACCTTTTCTTCAACACAGTTGACAATCAAAGAAGTGTACTTTCGGCTGAGCCACCGAAAAAACGCTGGTACTCCCATTTCTGTAAGTTGTGAAATAAGTGCGAACACTGTTTTGCAAAATCTTTAAAAATGTAAACTAGGGGAAAATAAACGTGTAATTTAAACCATTTATCCAAGTTTGAATCTTCTTTGTAAGCAGGCAGAATTGTTTTCAGTTCCGGTTTCTTGACATACTTTTGAGATCGTTCCTTATAATTTAATTTGTCTTCATCGAAACATTTACTCTAGACATTATTATGATTAATACAATTTTAACAGTCAAATAAAAAATGTCATACTTTATTACAACTGTAAAACTAATTTTAATTGTATATAAACAGTTTATCAATTAGCCTACATTTTGCAAAGCTCTTGCAGGTGCCTAAATTTCTATTAAAACTCAAAGTCAAACATAAATATTCAGAACTTGAATGAAAATAATTATTTCCTAATAAATATGGTATCACTCAGTGTGCCCCCCCCCCGGGGTGGTCCTTAAGTTTGCCACCCCTCACTCCTGAGCTATTGCTAATAAAGCCTAAAAAAATGGGGTTGGGGCAAAAATGCCGACCGCCCAAGGCCCCACGCTTAGCCCTTAGACGATGCAATAAAAAAAAAAAAACTTAATATTTTTTAGCTGCCCGATTAACGTATTACATTAACATGTCTCTTTGAACTAAACGGGTGAACAAATACCCGGTATCACATGTCCCATTATTTCCTAAGACCAATTATGACGTGTTTTGTAAATAACTTCTGAGGCCCCTCAAAATTCTTAGGCCCTTATACCCCGTAGCCGTAACATCTTGGCGTCGAAAAAACAAAACAAAGTAGTTTTAAAAATTGTGCACCAAACGTCGAAGAGTAAGAAGAAAAAAAAAAGTCGGGAGACGGGGAGGGGGGGGGGAGAGACAAAACTTTTATAATTAGTGTTAAGTCACACGTACGGTTCCCTTGTCTGACGCGTGCTTTACGCAAGTGCTCCAAAAAGCAGAGACGCTTTTTTTAAAGCAACAAAAATATTTGAAGCGTAATAGCTGGTAGGGTACGTTGTTGCATCCATGTACTGGCAAATGTGTCATGGTTGGGGAAGCGCTGCTGCTATCTCCTAGCGAATGCCAGGGCAGCATTGAAGCTCTCGATTGATGTCGAGTCCACGGCGGCATTTTCCAGGTGTTTCCAAGCGATTATTGTGCGTGGGAAGAATTATTGCTTATATTGGACTGTGTTACACCAATGCACAGTGAAGTGTCATAATAAAGTGATGAGATGTTGGCTATTATGAAGATTTGTGAATTTTTATTTTTAAATTTACTTTTTTTTTTTTTATTTTTTTTTTTTTTTTTTTTTTTTTTTATTTGTTTTTTTTTTTTTTGTTTTTTTTTTATGAAGATTTGTGAATTTTTATTTTTAAATTTACTTTTTTTTTTTTTTTTTTTTTTTTTTTTTTTTTTTTTTTTTTTTTTTTTTTTTTTTTTTTTTTTTTTTTTTTTTTTGTTAGTTTTTTTTTTTTTTTGTTCTTATTTTTTTGTTTTTTTTTTTTTTTTGTTTTTTTTTTTTTTTTTTTTTTTTTTTTTTTTTTTTTTTTTTTTTTTTTTTTTTTTTTTTTTTTTTTTATAGTCTATGTGTTCCTGAAATTGCTATTCCGGTCATGGGAAATGTCTGGATTCGGAGATCCATTATAGTGTTTTTACATATTTTTTAAAAAAAAATCATGATTTTTAACTGCGGCTAGGTCGGTCAGGAACGTTTGATGTAAGTTGTCATTACTGCACAAAAATGAACGTGTTTCATATGCGCGGTAATTGAGATAGATTTGCTCATTGCACGCGAGAACATTGTGCCCATTGTTAATGTACACTTTGACGTCTAAACGTTTTGAAACTTATCATTATTGAATAATCCTTCCTAGACCAAGGCGGGAAACGCTTTTCCAAAAATAGCCACAGTTAAGGAGAATTAAAGTTTGCCACACTACTTATAAGTCACGAAACACTATAATAAATGAAATGAAAGTAAATACCTCTGCTATAGTTACGAATATTTAGTGTAGTTTATTTATATGAAGGGTTGAATTTTATCTTTTAATGAAAATTAATGCGCCTGAATTACTATATTCTGTTGATTAGCTTTCCTAAAAAATTTTTTTACATGACCGGGTTTGTAACATAGGCCTACCAGTTGTAACATACGCAAGTAAAACTTGGATCCTAACAAAATCGGCAGAAAACCTAAGACATGGGAGAGAAAAGTTCTCAGGAAAATGTACGAACCAACAAAGGATAAATGTGGATGAAGAATACAAACCAACCAAGAATTGTACAGTCTATATCAGAACCCTATACCCTAGTAGCAGAAATTAGAAAGGTAGTCTACGCTGGGCAGGACACTTAGAAAGAATTCCAAATGACAGAGGGATAAAGAAGGCACATCACCAAAATCCCAGAGGAAAACGGCTCAAAGACAGACCTAGGCTTAGATGTATGGATGATGTTGAAAAAAAAAATCTACAACAGATGGGAAATCCAAGCATGGAAAAGAAAAGCATTAGTTAGGTCCTAGTGGAAGGAAGTAGTGAGGCAGGCCGACTCCCCAAATGGGATGTAGCGCCACAGAGATGGGTGAATTACTATGTAATAAATAATAATAAAGTTCATTTCAAAAACACGCTTCATCCCCAAAGGCTCGAAGCGCGGTACAAAGTCAACAAAAAACAAATCTATAATTCACCACATGTAAAAACAAACGCAACACTACAAAAACTAATTACAAGCATACATATTGTTTTTAAAGGCCTAAATAGAATTATAAAAAAAAATCCAAGAAATTATTCCATAACTGGTATTAACTAAAAAAATAAAAGGGCCTAGGAAAAAAACCAATGTAAAATGAATGGCTAAATACACATATTTAGTATATATACTTGGATATCAAAACTTAGTGGACCAAATTAGGCTACTACTACTACAATTTGATCAATATTTAATTCATTTAAAATGCTTATAGGCCTTATTAACCAAATTATCATTTATTTATTTTACTAAACCCCATCCTCCCCTAGTCCCCTTACCCTGCTAAGAATACTGCTCTGTTCCAAATATTATTTATATATACGCTGTCCACTGTATATATCAAATTTAGCTATAGTATAGAGCCTATATAAAAGAATAACTTGTAGTTTATAGGTAGTTTATTATAGTTTATAGGCCTAGCTATTAGTATTAAGTAAATTAAGGGTTAGCTTTTGACCTTTATTAATTTTGAAGACATGTTTTTGTTCCGGCTAACAAAAATATTTTTTATAATTTAAATAGGACATTTTTTAATGGTAAAAATTGGTTGGTCAAATAATTATTATTCGCTGGTTTTGCACATTAACACACCTCTGCTCTGATTCACATGAAATAAAATTTTAAAAAAATGATCAAGTTCATATCTATCTCGACTTTAGGTAACATCATCTCGGAAGTCGGTAATAAGTATGATCTTTTAAAAAAAAACATGTTTACTTGTGAATAAAACGATTTTTTTTTCAGCATTCGTAAGCTAATATGCAAGCACAAATAATGTCGGCGGAAGAATTCAAATTAGAACTTTCTAAAAAAGATGCAGAAATAGAAAGGCTACATAAAATGTTGCTTATTCACGTATGTAATTAATTAAACCAGCCACATTATTAATAAATATTATGTAGTCTTGTCTAATAAGTCAAGTCTTTAAGTAGTGAAAATGTAGTGATTCTTAGCCTATAAAAACCCATAAAAACTGACCGATGGCCGCCGATGCCTAATTCCTAATACTGATGAATTTTAATTTTATAATTGATTGAATTTACTGTGCCAAAATGTGAGATTACCAGGTTTGAGAATAGACTTATGACTTTCCTTTGCCTTTGGGGACAATTGTGGAGTGGAATCCTGCTAGAACAGGATTATTGTGGTCAATAAAACCCGATTTGAGCTAATTTAGACAATCCCTGCAATGACGTCATTTACATGACCCATTACAAGTTTATTTTCCCCTTTGTTGTTTGTTTATTCTTGTCTTTTAATTTTTAATGTAAAAACCCACCTCTCCTCGCCACTAATACAATTAATACATAACAAACAGGGTACATTAAGTCATTAAGGCTATTGATGCCGCTCATTTCCCAGTGCTTTTGCCCTCCTTTTTTTTAATGCAGTTCAGTCAGCATCTTTGTTGTCATGATGGCAGTAGTGTCATGACAACAGAGATGGCAGCTATGTAAAAAAAAAAAAAAATTGTGCAAAAACACGTTTGCTAAAATTGGGGAGGGAAAAGAGAAATAGTGTTTTATAGTAAAATGTATAAATATTAAGATAATGGTTTAAATTTCAAATTAAAAAAAATTAGAGAAACATTTTTCTCAGTGTTGAACAGAGCAACTTTATTGTATCATTCTAGATACAGGCAAGACCTGTCAAGGACCTGTGGTCAGCCCCTTTCCTAGGATAATTTCTTCTTCTATATTTTGAGGGCCCACAATCAATGATAATTATGGCCCCTATGTTAAACATCAATCACTAATAATTAGAATAAAAATTGGTTTGGCACCCCACTCATTTCTCACTGATGCCATCATGGTTTCAGTGGGTAAATTAATTTCGTGGCGAACGTAGCAAATTTATTGCATCCCTTGAGATAGGTGGCAAGAAGTATCAACAACTTGGGGTTGCTCCCTTCCCTCAACTAATACAAGTGTCCTACAGTTACGTGCTGTGGTGAGGAAAGCGTAAAAACTAAGAAAAAGTATAAAATAGTTTTAAAATAATGAAAACCCAACTTGCACTTTCATCGAATACACTTTTACACATTTTATTACAATATCCACAGACAATCCAAAATTATCAGAATGTCAGACCTGCAAAAAATAGCATCATTTTGAAATATCATAATTAACCATGCTATGAAATATTAATTTAAAAAAAGCCATCCATCAGAAACATTCAATTGGCATATTAATATTTTTTTAAAAATAGTTGACTGTATTACTACTCCGTGACTGAACAAAGGGGAGGGAATCCTACACAGAAACTCAGTGTGATGCTGAAAGCATAAATTGACTCAACACACTCTCAAAGAAGTCTTGATCCTGTGCTAATGTCATGGCAGCAACACTAGGATTTATTCTCAGATATTAGTATTAATCGATTGCATCTAAATCTAATAGTAATAACACTGCCAAGTCCAGTAAATTTTAAATTTCAGGAACTATGCCATGGTCCTGTTATCTACAGATATTTATTCCAAAAATGAAGTAAAATATGTAATAACTTTTAAAGTACTTTGAAAAAATAATGTTCATGTGCAAATAAAGTATAGGAATTTTGGGGAGCCAAGCCTTGACCATGTCATATCCAAATTTGTGATGAGTCCCACTGTACTTGAATGGACACTTGCACATTGACTTGGCTAACTTCTTACTTAAACTTAAATGGCTGATTTTTTTGTGTGTGAATGTCACTTGTAATTGTGTCAACTAAGTTGGTGACTATACACACGTTATATTCTTTATAAAAATGAAAAATATGATTTTAATAATGTAAACCAAACTGTAAAAACAACTAAAGCTTAATTGACGATTGTGTTTAGGACTATTCTAATATATCGTCTTCTACTATAGGAAGAAAAATCAAACATACAAATAATATCACACCAAATAGAAGATGCGAAACCAAAGGAAGAAATAAAACACCTGACAAAGGAAGATGTCGGTAGATATAGCAGGCAACTTATTCTACCGGAGTTCGGAGTTCAAGGTACTTTTTAAAAGAAACTTATATATTTTAATTTTTCATTTTGTTTGTTTCAAATAAAATCAGACTTGCAGATCTTAAAATAAATTATTCTTAATATTGTATCAATTTCTTCAATATTATTATTACAAAAACAGTTTTCTTTTTACCAACTTTCTGTTACTTTCATAGATGCAATGGGTGTTTGTTTGTGTATATGCAGGTAATGGGGTTTAGTTTGGGAATTAGATTCTAACACTTACATCTCTAAGCTAATATTGAACCAAACTTGGCCTAAAGGCAAAGGGGTATTTGAATCTATTAAGATTATCTGGATTCTCTTTTTACCCATTGTATATGTATGTGTAGTGTAAATTTGAATTGGCAGCAAAAGAAAAATGGGGAGAAAATAATACCTTACTTTTTTTTGTTGTATTTTAATTAAACAAACTTGTTTACAATTTACTTGTTATTAATTTTTAAAAATATCCTACAATATTCAGTTGTTGTTTTTTTCATTTTGAATTAGGTATTGTTTATGCAGGTGAATTTATACAAATTGTTTGTGCTGATAATTTATTTATTATTTGATATATTATATGGTTTTAAGTTTTAATAGTTGTTTAAAACATTCTCAGGACAAATTAAGCTCAAGAATAGTGCTGTATTAATTGTTGGCGCTGGAGGGTTAGGGTGCCCCGCTGCAATTTACTTAGCTGCTGCAGGAATTGGTAATTCAGATGTCTGAAATATTTATAATTTAATATTATTTTAAAACAATTCTTTTAAAAGACGTCTTGACTTTTTGCAAAATTGCTGTAATAAGGTATGCATAAAGAAATTTTTGAAAAGGTTTGTTAGGATTAGATTTTTAAATTATACTTTTACTTTATAGCTCATCATTGCAGAAACTTCAATTTCAACTCACATATGAAACTAAGCATAAGCAAAATTTTAATTTAAATTTGCAGAATTTTTTTATTTTATTTTAATGCTAAATCTAATGTTAAATATTGATTTAATGGTGAGAGCTCATTCATCATCATCATCATGTCCCTTAGTCCTTGGACCATTGGGGCACCGCAGATGACATGTGAACTATCCTCCTCCATTCATCTCTCTCTTCTGCACTAAGCACAGCATCACCCAGTTTTAGACCTGTCCACTCTTTGATGTTATCCTCCCATCTTTTTCTTCCTCTTCTTCTCCCTCCTCTTGTGGTGCCCTGCAATATTTCTTTGGCAAGCCCTTGTTTCCTTGTTATGTGGCCATATCGTTGTAGTTTGCGCTTGTGACAGTCACCAGTAGGTCATCATACTGCCCAATTGCCTGACGAACCCTTTCTTTCATTATCCCCATATAAACAAGGGTTGTTGGCTTTCTTTCAACAGCACATCTAATTTATTTTTATCTCTCCGTTTTCAGGGCGGATTGGTGTTGTTGATTATGATGAGGTAGAACTCAGCAACTTACACAGACAGATTCTCCATACAACAGATCGTGTTGGTATTTCAAAGTCCATGTCAATAGCCCAGTCTTGTTACAGGTTCAAATTTATTTATATATATATTACTTTTTTTGTCAGAACTTGATTGACTTTATAGTCAATTATGCTTTTACCTCTAACTTCCTTAAAAATTAAAGTGATACATTTTATACATTTACTAACACCAGTTATCAATGATCTAGTGAAGTGCAAGTGATGTTATATAAATTTGTGATGCACTGGGTATATTCATATATGTTTCTGCGCACTAATTTAGACAGAATAAGACCCTGAAATATACACAAAAGGGGATCACAGGCCAGAATACGTCTTTGATCAATTTCAATGCTTTGTTTTATTCTCCATATACACAATGTATTGATAGGAAAAAAAAAAAAGATTACAACTTATTCATGAAATACTTTTTATCACTAAATTTCAGCTATCAACTAATTATTTTAATGTTTAAGTAAGGTTGTTCTAAATTCAAAGTTTGTGATATTTAATATAGAAATCATCTTACATTTATAGGCAGACTCTGAGCAGTTTCTTTTTTAATTAAAACAATGAGTGGCATTTAGCAACTACATTTTTAAAAAAATGTTCTCCTTTCCCAACATCAGACTAAACCCAAGTGTTGACTATGTGCCTTATCATCTACAACTAGATAGCAGCAACGCTCTTGATATTATCCGGAAGTAGGTAAAGACTTAAAAGAATAATGTTTGGCTGTCAAAATAAAAAAAAATAACAAAAAAAAACAAAAACAAAAGTGATTCTCAAGTCCCTATAATTTATAAGACATTACACATCCATCATAGTTATTATGCCATAATATTATTATTATTAATATCATATTATTATGCCAGCCTAATTTCTCTTCTGTCAAAAAAATCACATGGGCCAGTAAGAATCAGAAATGCAATTTTTTCTTTCACTTTTTATTCTGCCTAAAGCAGAAATATAAAGAAAGTTTTTCCGCAATTTCTGTTCATGAAGTGACCTTTGCTGAAGTTGATGAGCATGTTTTAAAAGTTTATTCATTTGACCAGTAGAATATTTTCACTATGTTTTATTAAAATAAATGAAAATGATTCAGGCAGTCTTCAAGTATACACCTCTAAGGATCCCAGTTAGTAAATAATTTTATGGTAATGGAAAACAGCCAATATTTTATTAAAAAGAAAATGAGCAAGATCAAAAGAGCCGTATCTCTGTAAATGTACTGAAGCAAATATTATTATTAATTCTTTGAAAAGAAGCACCCTCTCTGGTTCCTTGTCTATAATTGTAATGTTTTAATGATATAAGTTATCTTAAAACATGCTCCTTTATACAAGCCTTCATTTCTAATTTTAGCTTTGACATCATTCTTGATGCCACAGACAATGTTGCCACTCGTTACCTCCTCAATGATGCCTGTGTCCTAGCTGATAAACCTCTGGTATCAGGGAGTGCTTTAAGATTTGAAGGACAGGTAACTCCTATAAAAAAAAAACATGATTAAATGTATTACAGAACAGAGCTTGGGAAAATACCTGCCCTAAGAAAACACTGCAGACATGTTTTAGTAACATTAATTAATCGGATGATTAAATTGCAAAATAGTTTTTAATCAGGGGAAGCTATTTTCTATTTGTGTATATTTCAAAAGAATTCCAACTAATAATTTTTTTGTGTGCATTTTATGGCAATTCTGTACCTAATATTTAATGTTAAATTGCTTTATTTACCTTGAATTGTTTTGAGAATTAGCAAAAACCAATGGGTCTCAAATTTACTTACAGGTGTACTCCAGATCACAAAACTGTCTTTTTTTTTTTTTGACTCTGGCCTACAAACTCATTTTAAAAAAGAATTAAGTCCTACAATACTGAAGTGTTAATTTTCCTTATTTTCAAAATGTAATATGCATCCAATTAAACATCATTTATGTGTCTTAAAGGTAATTTAAGATTTTTTAAATACTGGTAGTAATTAAAAAATAAAATCCTAGATTTACCTGTTGGATGGGTTTTGGGACAAAATGGGAAAAGAGCTGTGAAAAAGCAAGTAGTTTTGACAAATGTGTTCATAAGAAAAATTAACGACAGCCATAAAAGTAAACCCCTACTTTCATTAGTAAATAATTTTTTTTTTTGGATTCAACTTTTGGGGACTTAGCACGAAAATAGGACAATTTTGTGCACATGGTTTATTAATGACCCAATTACTTCATTTTATTTGTCTTTAATACGATGAGTTAAAATAATTTTTGACTAGATCAGACTGTTGAAACAGCTAATGGCTGATTATTTCATTTTTGAAATAATTGTTCATTTTTCTTTCTCCCCTGCATGCTAGTAATATTTAAGTGGCAAATAAAATGACTGTGTGTTTCTGACAGTTGACAGTTTACAACTGTAATGGTGGACCATGTTATAGGTGTCTGTACCCCAGGCCACCACCACCTGAAGCAGTCACCAACTGTTCAGAAGGTGGGGTCATTGGTGTAGGTAAGTGGCCATTTAAAGCAACACATTTACATAAAATTCTCTCCGAGGGAATTTTCTGAGGGTCTGTGATCATGCTATTGCTGCCTAAGGTGTGGTAAACCTGTTTGATGAAGTAGTTTATGCCCAAAGTGTATTTCTGTTTAATTATTACTTAATTAATTATTTTAAAATTTTCTTGTCTTTTAGTTAAGATAAAATAAATAATATTCTTTTATTGATCCAAATGAATGGAAATGTTTTTTGAATACAATGCACATATTCATTTTCAGTACATAGATAAATATTATAACAAAAACTTTTAGACAAGATCAAATTAAAACAAGACATCTAAGGTATTTCTTAAGCGCAAAAATCAGCCCTCATGTGCCATGGAACTTCACTCAGTTAGTGACCATATTGACTTCAAGAGGGATTATTTTAACATATACAGATTTTAAAAAAAAATTCTAAAATTTCTATTTTAAAAAACATTATACAAATGCTATTTTAATTAAAGATTTTTTAAATTTTTGCATGAACCCTGGCACATTAGTGTTCCTATTTTAAGTCTACAGTTATGAAAATGGCTGTTTAATTACTTCAACATAATTTTGTTGGCATTCTTAAGACATGAAATTGGTTTGATAAAGTATTCAAGTCAGTACATTAGTCAAATGTAAAAATCGAGATGGATTTTACACCTCCCCCCACTCTGCTGTTAGAAATGAGCCTGTACTGGCATCCACATTTCCTAATCTAAGATTATCTATTTACAATCACAATCATCATTTCAAGGTATTTTAGTTTTCCTCAAACACATCAAGGCCTAATAATAAGTTCTTCTTTTGCCAGCTAGTTCAAACAATAAAATAAAAAAATTTAACATCATGTTAAAAATCCTAAGTACTTTGCTGTTGTGTTACCCATAACCATTCCAATATGCATTTGTAGTTATATCCCCCCCCCCCCCCCCCCCCCCCCACACACTATGCAAAAATCTGCGAAGTATTAATCTTATATTTAATTATTTTTTTATAAGTATTTTACGGCTTCATCAACCCTGGCCACACTGTTATTAACATTTCCCACACTCTTTTAAACACTTTCTATGCTCTTAAACACATTCTAAACTCTCAAATGTACATAATTTTAAGCTCTTTGGCTTTCTGGCAGAGGCAATTGAGTCTTAGGTTATGCATTTAATGTGATTTAATATTCTTTGAATAGATTTTAATTCATATTTTATATATATTTTTTTTATTGTTCTTTTTTTTAGGCTAGAAAATTCTTATTTTACCACAAAAAATCAAAATAGTAAATAAATAAATTTACCTATGTACTGCAAAATCCCTCAATATGGCGAAAAACCTGTGATACAAAATTAGATACAGTGAGACCCTGAAAAGTGAATCTGTGATAGGGTGGGAATCATTGTATTTGTTTATTTGTTTCATATTCATGTCAAAGTGTTACTTTCATTTCAGTTCCAGGAATCATAGGTTCATTACAAGCATTGGAGGCCATCAAAATAGCATCTGGTCTCGGCAGTATCCTTTACATTTTTAAATCAAGTGACCCAATGACTTAAAAATGAACTTGGACATCAAAGAACAAAATAATGAGTTCATTCAGTTTTTGAAGAGAAGACAAATTTAGCTGGGCAAGCCTGAGATATGCATTAGGTTGGATTTTGGTGCAATGAAAACATAACCTCTCTATATAAGATCATAAACCATATTTCCCTTTAGCTTCCTAAATTAAAAAATTTTAAATAATAAACAGCAAAATTGTGTTTTAAGGATCTAAATCCATGTCCATATTTTCAGAGGGAAGCTCCCTTAATAATTCTGAAAGACTAAACATCCATTTTTGAAAAATATGAGATCATGCAATTTACAATGATCTCAATTGGTACTCAGTGGAGTCCCCAAACCCTTTCCTCAACTCATCTAGCTTCCTTTCAGCAACGTCTCCTGTTGTTTGACGCCTTGGACGGTACGTTTCGTTCTGTCAAGCTTCGTGGCCGCTCCAAAGAATGCTCAGTGTGCGGAGAGTCGCCCAGTGTCATACAGCTCATCGATTACGAGCAGTTTTGTGGATCCAGGGCGACGGATAAGGTGAGGGTTTTATTTCTCTTGTCTGTCGATGCAGTTGCAAGAAGTCCATTAATGCTGTGTGGCCGTCTCATTCGTTCAACTGCCAGGAGATGCTTACATTCACAAGAAGAACAAATTTTTATAGTTGACTTTCTGTACGAAATAATTTCTTCTCTGCTCTGCTTCTTGGGGGATAATGATGTAAAAAAAAAAATGGCCTGTATTGGTTGTAGAATATTTGTAAACAAAAATTCCGCAGTATTCATCCCATCACTTAAAAAATTTATAATATTTTCATTTTAATATATCTATTTTCTAGTAAGGTTCATAAAAGGAATTACATTATGAATCATTCATCTAAAACAGGGGGTGGGCAACACAAAAGGATTTGCGGGACACTGCGATAGCATTCAACTGTTTATGAAACACATGTTATTACAGCTCATATCAAAATAACCACTCACTAAATGCTGTAAAAAATGTTTTTCTATTCTTAATGCGAATGAAATGTTAAATAATATAGAATTAAATTAAGCTAATGTGATAGCATTTCATTTTTTCATTCAATTATCTTTTTAAAATGAATTTCTTTGTAAATTAAATTGAACGACATAAAAATTGGTGTAATATGCATAAAACGGGCATTAGTGGGCTGCAAAATTTGACACGGTGGGCTGCAATATTTGACACAGTGGGCTGCAATATTTGACACGGTGGGCTGCAATATTTGACACGGTGGGCTGCAATATTTGACACGGTGGGCTGCAATATTTGACATGGTGGGCTGCAATATTTGACTTGGTGGGCTGCATGAGGGAGGGCGGGCCACCCCCTAATTTATAAGAAATTATAAAAGGGGATATTTCACACTAAAATAAATGATACTGTGAAACATTCTTGTGTTGAAAACATTCTTGTACTTGTATGATGTTGTTGTATAATACTCAGTATTCTCTTTTGTAACAAAAAAATAAACAGCCAAATTAGGAGTCTATAAATTAACAAAATAAAAAAAAAAATGTAAGCAAATTATTAACTCAATACCTCTATAATGTAACTTCTGGATGACCCTGTTTTAAATTTATCTACTCTCTGGGCTCAAATTTAACTCATATAAAATTCCAAACTATTAAGTTGCATACACTTAGATACCTCTAACTAAAAACTTTCTACCAGAAAGAAAACTGATTCCCCCATTTACATCCATCTCTTCTCTCACCCAGTGGTTCCCAACATGTGCTTTCCGTGAAGGCTTCTCATGCACATCTTCAGTGATGTTCATGCATATTTTGGTTAAAAAGAAATATGAATGTTTTAATTTTAGATGGCGAATAATAAGTTTGCCAGGGGACCATCCCTTCTTTAAAAAGTTAATCATTGAAAATCATACACTCGGACATTGGAGCCGAATAGTCAGCTCACCATGAAAATCTATTTGAATACCGGGTACATGCTTCTTCTGTGGGTTAGGCTGTGCTGGGTTTGTCTTCATTTGTAAGTGATGAAATATTACCTCGGGGGTGTAAAAAAAAATAATTAAAGGACCAGCAGTCTGTGACTGGTCATCGTATTAAACAGTTCTTACTTACGTACCACCGTCTTTTCACAATCTTTGGTTTCCACACACCTGTTTGCATCCATGTTTAAAAGTCGTAAATTTATCATTAATTAAAATAAACTACTCCATATGTGCATATGCTGGTTCAACACAAAGAATCATGCTCATTCAAACGCTTAGTTGAAAAAAAAAGCATTTTGATGCAAGTAAAAGCAGCCACTTCCAGCTTAGTAACAGCATTCATGTGTCAAGCCAACGTCTTTATACCTAAGCTGTAAACAAATCAAGCCACACAAAAAAAAACAAGGCACTATTTATTTTTTTAAAATGAATCGCACTATAAAACGCTTTGGACTGTGCCAAGAAATGAAATGAAAGACCTTCGGTACCCTCAGTCTGGCCAGGATGAGGCTTATTTTGTGCCTGGTTTGTCTTCATTTGTAAGTGATGAAATATTACCCCGGCGGTGTAAAAAAATAAATAAATAAACAACGAGGAATCAACACTTGTCAATACATTAAACAGAACAGTACTTACTTACTTATGTCTTTTATCATGCCCGGGGAATAAGGCGTCTGATGAAATTGAAATTAGAAAATGGCGTCAGCTAGTCGTCGAGCTAGTGCCCTCCCCAAAGCCCCCCCCCCCCCCACCCCCCCCCCCCCCAAGCACCCCCACCTAAGCCTGAGTATCGGGTGGTGAAGCAGCACATTGAAGATCTCCCTTTGCTAGGCCAGCCCCCAACAGCACATACTCCATTGGGTACTAACGGAGGCCACCCCATTCCAAGGACATCCTGTCAGCCAGTGGCGCTGCTCTCACAGCGTCAGCAGTTGACTTTTTCAGGAGTCGGGTGGTATATTTGCATCCTAAAATCTTCCTCTCCCATCCTAGGGAATCATCAGATGTCCTGTAATAGGGATTTCTACAGTGGGGAATCGTCAGATGTCCTGTAATAGGGATTTCTACAGTGGGGAATTGTCAGATGTCCTGTAATAGGGATTTCTACAGTGGGGAATCGTCAGATGTCCTGTAATAGGGATTTCTACAGTGGGGAATTGTCAGATGTCCTGTAATAGGGATTTCTACAGTGGGGAATCATCAGATGTCCTGTAATAGGGATTTCTACAGTGGCTTTCTTCCTTGCAACTAATTTATGAGGCAGCTGCTACAAAATGGTTGCCTAGGAACAGCTTCCTCAATTGCTGTGTAATTAGAATCATCAGCATGAGGTTGCCACTACCCACCTCATGCCTCATATCCATGAACGGCAACATGTAATCATGATCCACAATCCTGTTTCTGCCATTTTATTTCCAGCTCCAAAATTACCACAGCTGGTAGCCCTGTAGATGCTACCATTTTCTGCATATACCATGCATACCTTTGTCTGCCAGCGCAGTCTCAAGCAATGGAGATTTTGTTCCCCGGGTAGCGCCAGGGGGCTAGTGACAGCGCCTCTTTAGTCAGCAAGCCACTACAGACTTTTCAACCAGGGCCCCAGGGGAAGGCCGTCTACAAGAATTATCCATTTTCTTGATCTTGTGCATATTTTTCCAGTTGCTTCCATGTGTATCCCATACTATTTCTGTCTGCCTTTAGCTTGCATTTCCATGTTTTCTGTGGTCTTCCTCTCTTCCTTTAAACATGCTTTTATTTACCTTGTGATTTTGTCTGTTTCTCTGGGTCATATCTTTCACCACAATTTTGTCCCACTTCCTGATGTCCAATTGAGCTGAAACTTTGTACACTTACCCAACCTCATGGCAACACAACCCTTCATGATCAGTAGGTCACCCAGTGAACTCCACTGACCCTAGAGTGATCTCTGCACGTCAAATCTTGCATCTCCATTTTGATCCCACTTCCTGATCTGCAACTGAGCTGAAACTTTGTACACTTTGACTAAAAAGTACAAAATAACCAATATTTAAAAAATACTTTAAAAAAAACAACAACAAGTTTTACCAAAAATTTGCTTAAAATGAAAAGTATAAAATAAATGTCCCCCAAAACTTCAGAGCTGTCAGTCTTGTGACTAAAAAAAGTGTGTGGGGCGCTCTTGAAATACAATGATGCTGTATGTCTTTTCCTTAGATTGTTAAGCCCGTATGTTAGTTTGTGTGTTGTCACATCTTGCTTCTTAATTTTTACCCAATTCCTGATCTCCAATTTAGCTGAAGGACTCCGCTTCTTCCAGTGCACTTCCTGCCAAGGATATGCGTTCTTAGTTGGCTGAGTTTACCTTCACAATCTTTTTCTTGCTTCTATTTATGTTGAGTCGGAGCTGAGCTGAAATGATGGCTACATCTTTTGTCTTTTCCTGCATTTCTTTATGATTGTGGGACAGAGACAGAAGTCCAATGTCATCTGCAAAGTCTAGGTCATTCAGTTGTTCCCAGGGTCTCCACTGTTTCCCATTCTTCTTTTTGTCAGTGAATTCTTTCATTATCCAGTCAATGACAGGATGAATAGGAAGAGGAGCAAGAGACATCCTTATCTGACTCCTGTTTACTCTTTAAAGGCACATGTGAGTCCATTAAACAGTACAGGTGCAAAAACAATGGGATCAAAGACAGAATCGCAAGGTGTGCATTTTATTAGTTGCTTCAGACACTTTGGGATGGTGACTTATCATATGACCAGCTAAATTTAAACATGCAGATGTGCTGTTCCATTTCATTTCAAACTTCAAGCCTTTGAGGCCTTGTTATTTAGCCTATCATTGTCCCTTTTATTTCAACAAATTTATATCATCATCACATGGTTTTCATCCAAGAATTTTGCAGCGGCATAGCTAGCATCATCTCACGGGACAACACTAAATTTTTAAAAATAATTAAAAAATTAAAAATGCCGTCCCCTGAATTTAAAAAAAAAGAATTGAATTTTGCCCTCCAATGAATTTCCTGCACTCAGTTTTTTTCCTTTTAACTCAAAGGCTCTCTGTTCCTAATGAAATATTGACTGCTTTAAACTAATCCCCCTGATATGTTTCATGGGGCACCATGTGGTACATTCCTCCCTAGCTTGGTCTTTTATTTGGCTGTAGTCGGCTTATTGACTTTATAGCCCCCCTTTTTTTTTTCAATAAAAAAATTGATAATAATAAAGTCATTTCTTAATCATCAATAACAGCTGGTGGAAATCACCCCATTGATTCTGAAAGTTTAACCTAAGTATAACTTAATGACACAGGTTTCTGGTTTAGATTCCTAGACAAGGCCATTTTTTTTCAATTAAAAGTAAAAGTGCTAAAAGCACAAACATTACTTTGTTTACAGTAGCTCATGACAAACACATTTATTTTCTTCTTTTCAATGTTAGCCACTACAAATCAATGCATTACCGTACATAATTTACAATTTTAAATTAGATTTGAAGTTGGGTATACTGTAACAGAGTACAATTGTTGTTTTCAAAAAATCTTTGAAGTTTGGGGCAGGCCTAGAAATATTTCTTGGGGTGTGATTAGAATAAAGAAAATGGAAAATTTGTGTTTACAAAGAATACATATCTTTGGTTTAGAATCAGTTGTTTAAGGTTATCCCAATACAGGATAGTTCCCAGCACAGGCGACAGTTACATGAAGTTACTTTCCCCTGCGAAAGCTGTAAATGTAATCAAAGTGAACGAATGGAATTGGAATACACATTATAAAGTTTTTAAAAAATTTTTTGTAATAAGTTTAGTTCTCCCCAAATATTATATTTTATAAGTCAAAGATAACAGGAGAACTCAACATGATATTTTATAAGCCAACATATTTTAAATAAGTTGTATACAAAATTTAAATTGTTCTTTTTCTTTTTTCCACCTCAGCAAATGAATTATACAAGTTTTGTTAAGTCTTCAAACTCTTAAAGGATTAATATTTCTTAGATTTGCCTTGATCATTTAGCAAGGATTCACTAAACCCTGAAGCTTGCAGAGTGGAATTTTTCTCGCTCAGGATTGCAGGTGATCATGAAGGGTTGCTAATGCATGCTGATATTAACTCTTCAGATTGATCATCTCCCGTTGAGCCTGGAAAAATTCCACTCTATCTTCTCTAATGAAATAAACCCTTGCCTCACTTTTCATACCAATATTAATATGCTCACTGCCTTTCTTTTTTATGAGAATGATTCTTCTTTAAATAACCTGTTTCAATGTCTTTTTTTCCAAATGTCTTTAAAAAAAAATAACTTAAGGCACCGGATGTATGTTGTTATTTAAAAAGAAAAATAATGGCACCACATGTACATTGTTACCGTATTTAAAAAAAAAAAATTTGGTTAAGGTTCTGGACGCAATAAATATGCAACTTTTGCTCAACCCATTTAGCATTCAATTTGAAATCAAATTTTCCAACGCTTAACAAGCAAGCACAAATGAAATGTTGATTTCAACTCATTGCCCCTTACTCAGTCTTGTTCACTTTTATAACATTCCATAACACAAGCAACATTTCAATCGCTGCCTTTTTAATTAAATTCAAAGCGTTCGCCCTGGTTATTGATTATCATACGGATGAAGTGTTTCACGAGAGGGCTTTTCATGCATACACATTTCTATATTGTTGTGTTATCCAACTATCAGATGTTCTCTTTAGTCCTTCGTTGACGGTCTGAGCCTGGCTAATCCTAGATCAACTAGTTATTACTCTTTTTTTTTAGCTGGACCCAGCTGCTTTAAGACGCTGCATCTGTTTTGTCCACACAATGACTTTTATGGGTTTTGTGATTCGTCCCTTCTGTTTCCTACTTAAGAGCTATTTTAAGCTTTACCTTACAGGCCCTATTTTCCTTTTTTTTAAAAAAAACAAACACATTAAGATATCTGCTATAAATAAAGCTTTTGAAATTATTTAAATAAAATAATCATGATATGTACAAAATTTATGTTAATAATTTTTTTTTTTTACCAAATATTAAAGCAGACGGGAGTTTGCTAGCTCCCCTTCCAACCCTTCTCCCTCCATTCACTGAACAAAGCAGGTGCAATGGAACACAATCAGCTGAGCATTCACATGTGACAACAAAAAAATTATAATTTGAAAACAAGATGGAAATACAAATGGAAAGAAACTCTTTAAAATGAAGTTTAGCATTACTGTCACACAAAAATAAAGAAGTATTTGTGAAAAGATATGTTTCTGATTTCAGAGCCGTTCTTAGGCGTTTGGGGGCCCTAAGCATGGAGCGTAGGTGGGGGGCCCTGGAAGAGGGGGTGGTCCGGGGGTTGGAGCTCCCTCGAGCTGAGGAGAAAACACCACCCACCACTGCGGCACCTCCATTCTGCCTTCATCAATGTTTCTTCTTTCCCATTCCCACTGCCAAGGCCCCCTGATTTCCTGTCTGCCACCCCCAAAGCTCCCCCCTGCTGCTTCCCTTCCCCTGCCTCCGAATTCAACTCAGAATGATAAATTTCCGAAGGATGAGGAAGGTAACGTGAGTGACACACACGGCTGCAGTGCCAGTTAAAAAAAAAATAACAGGGGATCAAGGGCGCCTCATGGGGGCCCCCTCACGTTCGGGGCCCTACGTGGATGCGTAGTCAGCGTATGCCTAAGAACGGGCCTGCTGATTTTAAAGCTAAGCATCTGCAGATGGAATTCTCTCTAAATTTCAGCTTGGTCTTCCATTTTACTACATTGGTTTGCCCAATTTTAAATATCAACCATCATGTATCCATTTGATTCTTTACTTTTGGACTTTGTATGCAACAATGTAGTGACGTTTCATGTCCACAATAGTTTTAGAAAAAACATATGGATATCAGTTAATGATACAAGGTGTAGGCAGTGAAAATACTTTGAAGGTGAAGTTTAATTACGAAGTCTAATGTTTAAAAAAATACGAAATATCCAGCATTTAGAAAAGTGTGTGAGAGAAAAGAAACAACAACATTTCCTAGCTATTTTACTAACGACAAGATACAACAAAGTTGTAATGGTACGGTAATACACACACAGTCAGTTCCCCAGAAAACCGATTCTTCTTTCTTTAAGTTACGATTTTTAAATTTATTTACAGGACCATCAAATCAAAGTTCTTGATGACAGTTCAAGAATCAATGTCAAGGTAAATGCACCATATGCTGTTATGTCCTAAACTTTCCTTCAGTGTCAAAAATATCATAAACTTTGGCTCAGTGTCAAAAATATCATAAATTTTGGCTCTGTGTCAAGAATATCAGGAACTTTGGCTCAGTGTCAAGAATATCATAAACTTTGGCTCAGTGTCAAAAATATCATAAACTTTGGCTCAGTGTCAAGAATGATAATTAATTTCAAACATCGCAGGTAGAAGCACAACTCCCCAGTGACTAGGCCTAAAGATTTGAACTTGTGTGAGATGTCAGAATAAATGATAACCTGTTTGAGGAGATATCAGAATAAATGATAACTTGTTTGAGGAGATGTCAGAATAAATGATAACTTGTTTGAGTACATTACTTTTATAAGCTCTTGTCTTTTTTGTAATGTTAAGATTGCATAAAGACATCTCTGTGGGTGCATTGACATGAATCACATCGACTAAGCAATCTTTTTGATTGGGTCATTTAAATTGAAGGTTATGAAATCATTGATTTCAATTCATCAGTTCTAAAGGTGACCTCAACTAAGCAATTATTTTGATTGGGTCATTTAAATTGAAGGTTATGGAATCATTTCATTATTTCAGTTCATCCATTTTAAAGGTAGCGGGCTGCCTTGATGAAGGAAAGTTTATGTTAAATTTGAATAAGCTAAAAAAAAACAACAGAGCCTCACACAAGTCCTGTAAAAGACCTTTTGACATTTAAAAACTCACACATTTGTGAGCAAATTAACAATAGTCCACACAAAACCTCACACAATTTTTTAAGCAAATAAACAAGAGTCCACACAAAACCTCACACAAATTTGTAAGCAAATAAACAACAGTCCATACAATATCCCACAAACCTTTTACTGCACACTGACCTTATAAAATTTTTGTATTAATTTAATGAATAGGAATACTGGACTATGTTACAAGAGCGGACACCACATATCCTTCTTGATGTGCGTCCTATTGTAGAAGTTGATATATGCAAACTGCCACATCCAGCGATTAGTATCCTTTGAAGAGTTCTGCTGCTTAGCTGATTTGTTTGGGGAGAAACAATGGGGTTGGGGGGGGGGGGTTTACATGGAGAAGGCAGGATTACAAGGTTATTAAATCTAACGTGTTCTCTGGTTCATAGCAAGGAATGATCTAAACACCACCTGGCAGGCTTAATCTTGGAGCCACATAGATGATTTGTTTGGGGGGAAAAAATGGGGGTGGGGGGGGGGGGGGTTTACATGGAGAAGGCAGTATTACAAGGTTATTAAATCTAACGTGTTCTCTGGTTCATAGCAAGGAATAATCTAAACACCACCTGGCAGGCTTAATCTTGGAGCCACATAGTCATAGAACCAGCCTGATTTTCATACAACTTGCCCCATAGTCATACAACTTGCCCCATAGTTATACAACTTGCCCCATAGTTATACAACTTGCCCAATAGTCATACAACTTGCCCCATAGTCATACAACTTGTCCCATAGTCATACAACTTGCCCCATAGTCATACAGCTTGTACCATAGTCATACAACTTGCCCCATAGTCATACAACTTGCCCCATAGTCATATCACTTGCCCCATAGTTATACAACTTGCCCCATAGTTATACAACCTGCCCCATAGTTATACAACTTGCTCCATAGTCATACAACTTGTCCCATAGTCACACAACATGTCCCATAGTCATACATGTCCCATAGTTATACAACTTGCCCCATAGTTATACAACTTGCCCCATAGTTATACGACATGCCCCATAGTCATATAACTTGCCACATACTCATAGAACTAACCTCTTTACTCTTAGTAAAAGTCTGAGTCACATAGCTCGCCCTATAGTCATAGAACTAGCCAAATGGTCATAGAACTAGCCACATGGTCATAGAACTAGCCCTTTAGTCATAGAGCTAGCCTAGCTCATAGAGCTTAGTTGTTAATTTTTCCATAAAGAAAAGATGTTTTATTTTATTACACATTCAATTTTAATATCATTCTCTTTAAATGGCAACAAGACATCCCATTCACAGCTTTCATAAACAATGTCACAGAATCAGCTTCTCAAATAGTCCAGGAAGTCAAAGACCTGGCTCAGAAACACCAACCAGAGGCATCAGCAAGCACCATAAACGTACCTGTTGTTTGTGTCTGCCGCAGAGGAAACGATTCCCAGCTGGCCGTTGAGAAACTCCAGAAAGAGCTGGCAGGCAAGGGTGTCAAGGTTCTTGACATCAAGGGAGGACTGCACAGCTGGAGCAAAGAGGTTGACCCAGAATTCCCAGTCTACTGAACACTTCAAGCTTTTCTATTGTTTCCTTTTGTAATTGTTGATTAAAATAAACAACCCTAAAAACAAAATATAAATCGTTTAAATACATTTTTGTTCGACTTGGCGATGGCTACATCTCTAAAGAAATCATTGTATCATGTTTCCTTCATCTGCCCCTTGACAAACAAGAAAAATTGATTTTTGGGGGTGAATGCTGAAATTAGATAGAATGCAACGTTTCAGCTCTAAGTGGGTCAATTACCCATCCCAAGATTTTGTCCTAAATACACAAAAAAAAAAAAAAGCTAATTTAATGTAAAGGCTTTAAAAAAGAAATACAGAATGCGCCAAAAGTAACAGTACTTACATTCCAGCTTATTGAATGGGTACGATCGTTTGTCAACGGTGCCTAGCTCTAGTCTCCCTGTGTTCTCAGAATTAAAAAAGGAAGACGTAAGAAATGCGTTTTTCGAGGGAGGAAATGTATTCATCATTCAGTATTATTTTCCCCATATGTAAGTTATAGCATAGCACCAAGTAACAGGTAAATGATTAGTACAGCATCAAGTAATACGTAAGTGATAGTATAGCACCAAGAAAAACTTAAGTGTTAGTATGGCATCAAGTAACAGGTAAGTGATCGTATGGCACCCAGTAACACTGAAGTGATAGTACGCACCAAGTAACACGTAAATGTTAGTATGGCATCAAGTGACAAGTGATAGTATGGCAAAATGATAGCATGGCACGAAGTTACACTCAAGTGATAGTATAGCATCAAGTAACACTGAAGTGATAGTACGGCACCAAGTAACACTTATAGTATGGCATCAAGTGACACTTAAGTGATAGTATGGCATCAAGTAACACTGAAGTGATAGTACGGCACCAAGTAACACGTAAATGATAGTATGGCATCAAGTGACACTTAAATGATATTATGGCATCAAGTGACACTTAAATGATATTATGGCATCAAGTGACACTTAAATGATATTATGGCATCAAGTGACACTTAAGGGATATTATGGCATCAAGTAACACTTAAATGATATTATGGCATCAAGTAACACTTAAATGATATTATGGCATCAAGTAACACTTAAATGATATTATGGCATCAAGTAACACTTAAATGATATTATGGCATCAAGTAACACTTAAATGATATTATGGCATCAAGTAACACTTAAATGATATTATGGCATCAAGTGACACTTAAGTGATATTATGGCATCAAGTGACACTTAAATGATATTATGGCATCAAGTGACACTTAAGTGATATTATGGCATCAAGTGACACTTAAGTGATAGTATGGCATCAAGTAACACTTGAGTGATAGTATGGCATCAAGTAACACTTAAGTGATAGTATGGCATCAAGTAACACTTAAGTGATAGTATGGCATCAAGTGAAACTTAAGTGATAGTATCGCATCAAGTAACACTTAAGTGATAGTATGGCATCTCATCAAGTAACACTTAAGTGTTAGTAAGGCACCAATTAACACTTAAATGATAGTATGGCAGCAAGTAACACTTAAGTGATATTATGGCATTTAGTGACACTTAAGTGATAGTATGGCATCAAGTAACACTTAAGTGATAGTATGGCATCAAGTAACACTTAAGTGATAGTATGGCATCAAGTAACACTTAAGTGATAGTATGGCATCAAGTGAAACTTAAGTGATAGTATCGCATCAAGTAACACTTAAGTGATAGTATGGCATCTCATCAAGTAACACTTAAGTGTTAGTAAGGCACCAATTAACACTTAAATGATAGTATGGCAGCAAGTAACACTTAAGTGATATTATGGCATCTAGTGACACTTAAGTGATAGTATGGCATCAAGTAACATTTTGTGATATTATGGCATCAATTAACATTTAAGTGATATTATGGCATCAAGTAACACTTAAGTGATAGTAAGGCAAAATGATAGTATGGCATCAAGTAACACTTAAGTGATAGTATAGCACCAATTAATACTTAAGTGATAGTATGGCACCAAATCACACGTAAATGATAGTGTGGCACCAAGTAACATGGTTCTGGAGTGGTCTTCTGTCAACAGAAGTCTAATAGACCAGTAGGTGGGCGAATGTAACTGCCACACATTCTTATGAAAAACTGCACCCACGTACACCACAAGCACACATTTTTAACAGTACAACTTTCTTGGCTGGCATAACTGGGTACTTTCAGCATTGTTCAACAAGGATCCGATACAAAAATTAACGTATGTCTTCAACAACTGGTGAGTGGATATACCGCTGATGTTCAGTTTCAAGGATGTTCATTGTAGGGTCCAATGCAGTAGGGGCCAATGCAGTAGGGTCCAATGCAGTAGGGGCCAATGCAGTAGGGTCCAATGCAGTAGGGGCCAATGCAGTAGGGTCCAATGCAGTAGGGGCCAATGCAGTAGGGGCCAATGCAGTATTGGCCAATGCAGTAGGGGCCAAGGCAGCACCTGGAGAACATATGCTTGATTCTGATTTATTAAAACACTTACTGCTGGGCCATACTTCCCCGTCCATTGACACAGTACACTTACTGCTGGGCCAGACTTCCCCGTCCATCGACACAGTACACTTATTGCTGGACCAGACTTTCCCGTCAAATTGACACAGTACACTTACTGCTGGAGCAGACTTACTCTTCCATTGACACAGTACACTTACTGCTGTACGAGACTTCCCTTCCATTGACACAGTACACTTACTGCTGGAACAGACTTCCCTTTCATTTACAAAGTGCATTTACTGCTGGACCAGACTTCCCTTCCATCGACACAGTACACTTCCAGAGCGGAGAAATTTTGCCACAACAAACACCGAAACTGTGCTGCTTGGCGCTGTCGTATTAAATCTTTTTGTAATTGCTCTGCCAACATTTTTAAGAAATGTTAACCCTTTCGGATATTTTATTCACTTAAACATATGAGAAAAAAATCACATTCAACTATGAATCTTTTGTTCTGCCACCTTTTTACTAATACGTTCACACTTTAATATCAATTACGTACGGGAAAATAATACTGAACGATGAAGAGCTCGAAGTGTTGGTCGAAAAAACCCATTTCCAGCAACAACAACTGCGCAACATGTCTTCCTTTTCAATTCTGGGAACACGTTGCAGCTGCTGTCATGCTCGGTTGACAAACAACACGTACGCATTTAAGATGCGGGAGTTACAGTACTGTTACTTTTGGCGAATGTTGTAAATGTATCTCAAATGGTGTTCAGTAACATGGCAACCGCCCTGTTAAAGTTTCATTGCTCGAATTATGGATTTTTGAATATTTGAGATCGTGTCACTGTGAGAGAAGGGGTCAGACAGAGAAGGGGTCAGACAGAGAAGAGAAGGGGTAAGACAGAGAAGGGGTTATTTATGTGAACAAATGGAGAACTTTTTAACAGTACCTAGCCTAAAAATGTTTTTTTTTTTTTAAATTAAAAAAATTAAATTTTGTTAAAGCTTATAACTATTTAAACAGATATTTTGAGAGCCCACTTTTATAAACTCCTATTAAAAAAAATATAGCCCCCAGCACCAAAATCACCCTGATGCGCTCATTAGTCCTCTCCATTTTCCTGTATACCTGCGAATCCTGGACATTAACATAAAGGAAAATAAAGGCGATGGAGATGAGATGCTTCAGAGGCATTTTTGGCATCTGCTATAGAGACCATATCTCCAATGATACAGTGAAAGAAAGGGTTCGCCAGGCAATTGGGGAGTACGATAACCTACTGGCGTCTGTGAAAAAAAACGCAAATTACAATGGTACGGCCACGTAACAAGGAAACAATGGCTTGTCAAAGAAATATTGCAGAACTTGAAAGGAAATTAAAGGCGATGGAGATGAGATGTTTCAGGAGCATTCTTGGCATCTACTATAGGGACCATATCTCCAATGATCAAGTGAAAGAAAGGGTTCGTCAGGCTATTGGGCAGTACGATGACCTAATGGTAACTGTAAAAAAAAAAAAGCGCAAACTACATAGGTATGGTCACGTGACAAGGAAACAAGGGTTCGCCAAAGAAATCATGCAGGGCACCACAAGCGGAGGGAGAAGAAGAGGAAGACAAAGAAAAAGGAGGGAGACAGGAGCATTCGTGGCAACTACTAGAGGGACCATAACTCCAATGATAAAGTGAAAGAAAGGGTTCGTCAGGCTATTGGGCAGTACGATGAACTAATGGTAACTGTAAAAAAAAAAAAGCGCAAACTACATTGGTATGGTCACGTGACAAGGAAACAAGGTTTCGCCAAAGAAATCATGCAGGGCACCACAAGCGGAGGGAGAAGAAGAGGAAGACAAAGAAAAAGGTGGGAGGATAACATCAAAGAGTGGACAGGACTAACACTGGGCGATGCAGTGCGTAGTGCTCAAGACAGAGAGGAATGGAGGAGGATGGTTCACATGTCATCTGTGGCGTAAGGGTAATCTAAGGGTAATTGGTAGCAACGCCAAGATTTATATTTCACGAGTTTCTTTATTCTACGACTCCTCATTGCAGCGTGCCTTCTTCCTTCCATTTTCTCTCTGCGACCAGTGCCAGCGGTACTGTCATTTTATTTTGGGGAAGTAAGGCAGAATCAAGGGCGCCGGTGGCTCTTGAGCAGAAGGGAGGTCCGGGGTGCCTCTCCCTAGAAATGTTTCTTTCAAAATCAAGAGGTGCATTTTGAGCATACCATAATTCAGTTTTTCGATGATAATAGTTTGATAGAAAGAATGGATTTTTAAAGCGTTTATGGTGCCCAGTGCTATACATAAACTGAATTCATGTAGCTTGTTGTGTGCCCAAGGGTAATTATTTGGCACAAGCTTAGATTCCACACCCTACTATCACACTGATCGGCGTGAGGGAAAAGGGTGCTGAAAACTCTGGAGAAAAAAATGACCGTAGGGGTCTCATTAGAAATATTTGATAGATTTGAAAAGTAGTTTTGCATTTGGCTCACATTTGAATTCGGTGTTTCTTTCAGAAAACTGGGAGGTAGCATTTCAGACCTTCGGGTATGAAGGTAAAAATTAACCATACATATGATCAGGGACAATTCTAACTCCACCCCAGCCAAAATTAAACTAAATTAATTCCAGTGGTTGCGCCCTTGATGGTATGCTTTTTGCCCTAGCTTAATCTCGCTCTTTAAATCTTTATGGTCCCCAGAAAATTGTTGATAAATTCCAAATGCAAGAATGCATTTTAACACATAAATGAATTTAATTTTAATTTAATTGGAGAGATCTCGGAGATATATTAATTAAAAATGGAAATGTCACTTGACCTCAGAGCCATCAGAGGGCCTTGCAACCGCTCCAGCTGCATGGTGCCTAGGATATTTTAAGGGCTTAAAGTTGTGATGTGGATATAAAATAAAAAAAATCAACTTTTAATGCAAGCTGTTGAGGGACACAATCGAAAGAAAGTGGTACATATAGCTCAACATACATCAATTACAGTACACTTAAAATTATTATTACCCGGCACCGGGTATAACTATATTTTTAAAAAGTATGATTCCATAAAACAATTAAAAAATATCTCTACTTTAAAAGCCATGATTTTGTGATGAAATATAATTTTTAAACAGATTGCACATGTTTTATACTTAGCAAGAACTATATTAAAATAATAGATTGTTATATTGATGTAAATGTAGTAAATACTTTGTTAATAAAGTCTTTAAACTTGTGAAGTTTCAACAACAACAACAAAAAAAAAAATGTATATATATATTATAT